ACAAAGAATACAATCATTTCTCCAAATTCTGTTTACATTTTATGCAAAGGAAACCATTTCATCTTCTCCTAAAATTATTGCTTGCTCTCTTACTTTTCTGTTGTCTTATATTTTGCTACAGATGAAAARAGTTCATTTGACTACCATCCTTATGTAAGCAATATCTATAGCTGTACATTGACTAGACTTAAAGCAGCGGACATTGACCAAGAAGTAAAAGAAAGAGCAATATCCTGCATGTAGGTCAAACCCTGTAATGCCATTTTAAGATTRTTTTATACACATCATGTATATTTGTTAAGAATTGTTTATAGTCAGTGATTGTTTTCATGGGTGAATAAAGTACTGTTTTTTGTCATTATGCTCTATATTAATATGGATGATTATTTAGCTTAGGCATGATACTTGTATTTTGTAGGGGTCAGATTATTCATTCACTTGGTGATGATTTGCAGTCAGAATTGCCTATCTGCCTGCCCATATTTCTAGATAGATTAAGAAATGAAATTACCAGACTCACAACTGTCAAGGCCTATACACTAATTGCAGGGTGAGGAGCACAATTTTGTAACAAATTCATGAATAATTTTTAATATGTTTTAATTTTTAATAATTATTATAATTTAAAAAAATTTGAAGTACCAGTAATCATAAAGACATTGGTCTGTTGAATGAATGTTCTTTATTTTCAAATAATTATATCAGTTTGTAAAGATATATGTTTATCAGTCTTARAATTTGACACAATGCTATCAAAATAGGAAAACTACCATTAAGCAACTGGAATCTGTTGCAATTTACATTTATTAAGTTCTTCAATGTTTATTGAAATGATGAATTTTTTTAAAATCACAGCAAAAAAAAAAGTCCAGAAATCTCAAACAATATTTGAAAAATAGCTTTTTTAAGAATTAAATATTTGTGGTTTAAATAAAAAGTCCTGGAGTTTGAGCACAAACCCTTATTATTAGCAGGTTTTTAATTGTTTTAAAAACAAGTTCAATCTGAAGTAGGATCTGCTATGGATGATAATCCTTTTGTTTGTTGTGGTATTTAGATCTCCTTTAAGGATTAATCTTGGACCACTTCTGGTAAGTGATAATTATCTTTATTATTTTCTAATGATATTTATAATTATAATGATTTAATTTTGAACATGTATGTTTGCTGTTCATTTACAGAATGAATCAATGCCAATCCTAGCATCCTTCCTTAGAAAAAACCAAAGAGCCTTAAAGCTGGCAACTCTAACAACATTGAATGTCCTTATGAACAACTATGGTAATGGAGAAGTCGACATATTTAGGGTTTTGCGTATTAAGCCCCGTCTACACGAGCAATTTTTATGTGACAACTATATGTGGCAATTTTTATTTGTCCGTGTGGACAARCAGCAAATAATTGTTGAAGATTTGCGCCAAGTGTGATTTTGCACAGCGGAGATGCCAATAAACAAAGCAAAGTTGKTTGRTTTTAGCTCTTACAACAACAATAATACCATTCTCTCTGTCGATCCGGTCGTTCTGCGTAATATCGGCGTTGCCATCTTGGTTGGTGTGCAAAATGTTGAGACTGGGATTTAGTGTAACGTCAAAATAATTGCCACATTCTATGTGACGCTTGTCCACACGGGCAATTTTCGATATGTGACAATTTTTAGTTATCACATAAAAACTAGCATGCCAGCTTTCCAGCAACTACAGTTGTCACATAAAAATTGGTCAATTTTGCTCATCTACATGGGCAATTAAAAGTTGTCACATAAAAATTGCCACATAAAAATTGCTCGTGTAGACGGGGCTTTACTGTGTAGTATATAATTATATATATGAACAGCTATGTTGTTTTTTTTTTGCATAAGATTCTAGATGATAGAATTCCTGTGGTTTCAGTTGTGTTGATGCTCAAGTATATTCTTTTATCCAGGGAAGTCCCTTTCAGAGGACAACATAGCCAATGTTTTGAATGAAGTTCCACCTTTGATTAATGAAAGTGACTTGCATATCTCCCAGGTAATCTAGATAACTATTGTGCAATAATGTTGTAGCATACATATTATAGACAGCAATTAATTTACAGAACTGAAAAAGCTACCAAACTCATAAATGCTAGGAATGATGTAGGTAAATTTGATATAGATTTCCTATTTAACATATGTACATATTAAATTAAATGCACATGTAGAGTGAAAAACAATCTTGACGTATTACTTTAACATTGAAGTTCAAGTATATTATAAATACGTTTGTAAATGGCATAGGGAACAGGGCTGCTTGCGACAACCACTAGGGAGTGACCAATCATCGTGATAGGTTGATGGGTCCCTGGGAATTAATACCTGGTATAATAATAATTATTGATTGTATAGCTGTTGATCCGCACTTGTTGCTTCCAGTTTCAGCTGGTGTACATGTATATTATTTTTGCAAATATGCCGTCTTTACCCAGACATCCAAAACCATTTTAAATAACATAAATTAATATTATTATCATAGCACTCTAATGTAAATCATTGTATCCAATAAACATAACATGTTGCGCCATCTGTTTGCAGAATTATACAATATTAAATGTTTTCTGTGTGGTGAAGYGCAKTGACAGAGCACAGAATRACAAAAATTTCTACTATTTATTTAAGARAAATCTTSACTACAAAATATTGAGSATGTGGTTATTTTGTTTTAGCTGACATTATCCTTATTGACTGCTACTGCCAAGGTACACACCAATAGTATGGCTAAAGTAAGTATTCCAGTTATGCCATGATCTAGTGTCAATCAATGATTCMCTTCACAACCTGTGGGCATGTATGATGTGGTGGGACATCATGACACAGGATTACGATAACACTTGTCTTTATTTTACTTAGAGTACAATTTTTAAGTGATTCAGGATTCATAGTAAAAAAAGGTTTTAAATTAATAAAAAGTTTTATTGTTTTTGATACTTGCTCACAATTGCAATTGCAATAATGGAGTGTATGCTATTTGCAGGCAAGCTCAACAACACTTCCAGCTGTGATGGAATTAGTAAAATCACCACTTTTACAAGGTACACTGACAATTCATTGCTTAGAACTCACCATAGAAAGCCTATGGAAACTGTTATATTGATGTTTGGCAGTAGGATTAGTGATACCACATTTGTTAGTTTTTTAGTTTTGATTGTAATTGAGATGCATGGTTTGGTAGAGTTTTGGACTACCATTGAAAGACATTATCTAAATCACACCTATACACCCTTTTAATAAGTCCCAAGGTATTGTGTTCTCCGCACTTGACGTCAAATTTATTCTTTTGAATTCCTTTTGTATTGTCAAAATTTCAAAAGAATAAATTTGACGTCAAGTGCGGAAAAATCAATACCTGGGGACTTATTAAAAGGGCGTAAAAAATCTTTACTTTCAAAATGAAGACTGAAATTTTAATTTATTTGTTGTATTTGAAGCAGCTGAACATAATACAGGGAAATTATGTTATGCAAAATAAGAAAAAAAAAAGAGTTGAGAGAAATATTTCAGGAATGTTTTTATTAACTAATTCAATTTAATTAATTCAATTGTTCATGGAAGTGGTACATAACGATGCTTTGTCATATCTGATGATTGGTAAGAAATTGAAATAAGATTATTTGAATCACATTTGATGGATAGTTTGTTTGTTTATCAGGTGGGGCATTGAATGCAATGCTTACTTTGTTAATGGAGCTTGTCAATTCAGGCATTCAGGGCATGGCATTTTCTAATTTATTTGAGGTACATGTTGTAAATAAATAATTAATAAACAAACTACTATTA